AAGTACAAAGCTTTTTGGATCTTACTAGTGTTGCTATCAAAGCACGAAGATGCGGTCCAAGATGCCTTGCTATTGTAAGGAATTGATAAGACTGAAAGAGTGCTGACAGATATGAAATGAGATCTCATAGAAATGGACACGGACGCTGGTCAAGTACAGAGGAATGTGCAACATGTGGAAACATATTTGAAATGTGTTCAGCAACATGTAGGAACATGTTTGAACGCACCAAATTGTCCTTCTCCAGCAGAGTGATGAAATTCTACATCATTTACCACTTTTCAGATTCATGGTCGCAAATGCTAAGTGTAATAGCAAAACGGGGCAAGCGATTACTCGGCAATGACGCACTCACAACATATGGATGTGTTTCTTGTCCTCACTATGTTATCTTAAAGGCAGCGTCCGGGCAAAAACGAAACTGTAGCGTACAGGGGTTCTCGACCTGGTGGAGCTCTTGCCCAAGTGGCATTGCACCATTTTGCTTCTGAAGCGAGAAAACCGTTTCAGAAGTGGCGACAGGACCGCCCCGGCGACGTGCGCGTCCCTTCAATCGATAGCCAGAGTACGTATGTCGAGCACGCGACTCTGCGTCTTAACCTCGCGTCTTAACCTCGGCGGCAAGCGTCATTATTCAAAAGCAACTGCTTCTGGAAAAGCCCTTTTTCGACATCTTCGTTCTTTGCAAGCTGCAATTTCGTAATCAACGGGAAGAATAAGGCCAGGGGCGGTATGCAACAATCGCCCGTCCGGGTAAGTTTCCCGGACAGGTAGTTTCCGCTTCATAGCTCGGTGCTCTGGGAATCTGTGTTCTTCCTTGTTGTTCATCTTTTGGAGGCTCTACTACCCTAATTTTGTAGCACAATGATTAGCAGCACTTTGTTGTATAAGCTGAGATGATTCGTTATTTGCATGATCCCGAACGGGATCTCCCACTGATCAGGCTCATTTTCAAAGTTATTTATATCCGCAAAAACTCAGTGAAAACGTCACAGAGTTTTGCTGTTCATTTATTACGACAGTGCTACGCATGTTTGTGAAAGAAATAAGTGAAAATCAAGTTGTCAAAATATTCGCTGAACCTGTTCTCGCGAATTGGGCTCTATCGAAAAACTCAAAACTTGCACATTTCATCTGTGCTACTAAAAACATGCCTAGCATGTCGTAATAGGTCGACAGCAAAACTCTGTGACGTCTTCATTGAGTTTTTGCGGATATAAATAACTTTGAAAATGAGTGTGATCAATGGGAGATCCCGTTCGGGATCATACAAATAACGAATTATCTCAGCTTGTACAGCAAAATGCTGCTAGTCATTGTGCTACAATATTAGATTAGTAGAGCCTCCAATAGATGAACAACAAGGAAGAACACAGATTCCCAGAGCACCGAGCTATGAAGCGGAAACTACCTGTCCGGGTAACTTACCCGGACGGGCGATTGTTGCATACCGCCCCAGGTAAGCGAAAAAAATTTTGTTCGAGATTTTGCCCGGACGCTGCCTTTAACTGCGGTTCATGGTTATACAACACCATAATTCGGGAATTTTGGGACTATCTGAAAGAAAATAGAGAGACCATTGGTACTTCATGAAAGAGCACAACAGAAAGTGATATACGCGGCACGAGAATTGTAGGTGTCAGTCTTAAATGTTTTTGCGCCGAGGATTTTTAGCGGTTCATAATTATACTAACACCTTAAAGCTCCTTTTTCCACTCAAACCGGAATTTTTCGAGTCAAAAATTTTTTGAAAAGTTACAGTAACAAAGTTTAAGAAATCTTACAAACTGAAATCAGTGCAACTGAGGAAAGGACGCATCTGTTCTCGGTGGCTCGAAATGCTTTCAGAGTCAGTGTGCTTCAAAACGTCTGTTTTTCTATAGTTCAAGCACTCTAACCAGCTTCTTCCAATGCTAAAAAAAAGTCGAGCTTTTTCAATTGATTTTGTTTTACCCTTTGAAAATCTATGGGTTCGCATTTTTCAACCAAGTTTCAACTATACCCTAGACTTAGCACATCTTCGAGCTTCAAAACTCAGCCTCTGTGATCTCATGATAAGCCAAGCATTAAGTAAGTACTAGATTGAAAGATTTCGTGTGTGGCGAGAAAAGTGCAACTCTAAGCACTTCTTTTGACCACGCGGACGTCTTCTTCAAATTGGTCTAGTATTCAAATTGGTCGTCTAGTATTGCAACCGCACTTATTCTGGGCTTTTAGCTCTAAAGCCCAAATTTAGTCGTGCAAAAAATCAGGTACTTCAGCACGGATACATCAACATGCACTAGTCTCAGCTAATTCCTTTGCGCGAGACAGCGAAGTTTTGAGGCTCAAAATGGTGGTAACTTCGAGGTTAGCTTTGAACTCGGTGAAACGAGAAGAGAACGTAGGCATTTCCCGCGCGTCGGATAGATAGTCTGTTAAAAAAACTTGATTCATCTCATAGCCCCGAAAGAAGCTTTTCAGAGTGCTTGAACCACGGAAAAACAAACGTTTTTGGAGCTCACTGACTCCAACGAACTTCGAGCTGCAGTTTGGAGTGAAAAAAGGAATTTCATTTGAGGTGTTCGCAAAATTACGCACTGTGAAGAATCCGCACGGTGCAAAAACATCCCTAAGATTGACACCAATTTTCATTTTTGTACCGCGTACACCGTTTTCGACTATGCACTTTCACGTAGTGCCAGTGGTTTCTTGAGCTTCTTCCGAAAAGTTCGAAACTATTGAAAATGGGTTCGTGTAATTATAAACCGCACTTTAGCTTTAAACAGCCTTCATATGGTAACTAGCAAGAGCGTACTCGAAAGAGATGTAATCGAAAATCCACTCCACTAAGCGCCCAAAGAATGCAAGAGCATCAAGGAGTGACTTTCGAAATAAATGTAGAGACGGTGCGTGATCCTTAAACATAAACTCGCAAAACTAGAGGCGTACTGGATTCGTAATAAGCACTTCAGAATGAAATGCAAGGAAGAATGCCTCTCTACTCGCGAACTTGCACCATATTTGGACCAGAATTTTTGATCCGTAAAGAAATGTTTATTCACCCAATCACGCAATCAGTCAGCGCTCGTTTGAAAATACATTTATCCATTTCATCTAAAGAAGGCGACATAACCGAAACCTTAACCCAATAAATATAGTTACCAATCTTATCGTACTCAAAAATAAATCAAAAGACAATTGTTTTTGGTATTGCAGGCTGTTTATGGTGAAATCACGCCAAAAAGTGTGTCCTTGTAACGTTTTTTTATACGGATTTCCACCTCAGGGAGGGTCACAGATCATATCATAGGCATGGTATAGCTCAATGTCTACTTCATCCGTGTATATTATGGAACTCGTAGCAGTAGCGAAAAATCTTGCATTTTCATCGCCAGAGATAATCAAGCTTTCACTGAGCTGAGGCGCACTAAGGCTCGCACTGGTTCTATTTTGTACCTTCCTTGTGTTCGCATGGTGATGGCTTCGACCATCACGCGATGCTGGTTATCACGAATTCATTGTAAAAATGCTTGTTTCGTACCCTAATCTATGGGTGATCGATAATAAAAAGAGAAATTTTCTAACAGAAGAAGAAATTCTTATGAACATCAAACAAGAACAAAAACAAATATCTTAATACTTAATATGGCATGATAGTCGCTATAAGAACAATAGCCACTCTCAGCCACACTTCTGTGCAGATATTTTCAAAACTCTCAAGGAAATACTCTTTGAGCATAAGTAATCGTAGCTGGCTTAGCCGGCTACGCTCGGCCTGTCAAAATACTTTTATAAGAATCCTATCCCTATCCACGCACAACTTTCTCTGTGCCTACTTATACGTGCCAATTTCCTATTCCAGCTGTGTTCAGTAATCAGCATGCTCACTTCCCTCTCCTCCCCCACCACCTCCCTCCCCCCTATGCCAACTCCCAGCCCCGCAGCTCGAACTTTGCAAAAATTGATAAGACTGATATAAGTAACGGATAATTCTAAAAACTAACACTGTATTCGCAATCAGCATGCTTGATCACCCACTGTGCCAACTCTTAGCCCGTAGCTCAAATTTGCAAAAAAAAACATGTAGAAGTGGGCACAGGGAAAGGTTGTGTAGGGATGGATAGGGACGAGCTCTTTATTGTAATGTTGTTTTGACAGGATCGGGCGGATCGGGTAAGCCAGCCAGTAATACATAAAAACGACACCATCAGCCGTGCCCTACTCACGGCTTCAATCGGTTGGCACAAAAACGCATACGAATCTTGAAAAAATAATAAGAGAGCATGTCCCCTTTTAGTACGAAGAGATCCTTCACTAGTGTTGCCTCATGTGCTATATGGTCGGCTCGTCTTCAAACTCGTTTCCATCGTAAGTTCAGAATTACTGCCACTGGTTAGAAAAACAGTAGAAGCGACTTGTCGTCAGCCAAAAATTCATTCCTTACGAGAAGAGCCAAAAATTGATGATTTAGGAGAACATAGCAAAGCGCCGCAAAAAGTAGCCAGAAAACCAATTTTCATGCGGTCTGTAAGCAGGAGTTTTTAGCTTAGTTCGTTTTCTACGGGTACGACGTCTTCATGACTTGCGGCTCGTTTTGCGCTTGCACCATCTTTATACATGAGCCAAAACTACTCCTCTTCATCAAGTACTTTTATCTGTTTTTTGAAAACTTCGAGCTACGGCTTTGGAAGCGGCAAGCAAGTAAGAGTAATCGCAAACCTTGATTGGGGCTTGAAGTTGGCAAAAGGGGGAAAATGTAAGCGAGCATGCTAATCACAAAAACGCTGGACAGGAAGTTTGAATATAAAATGAGCAGAAAAATGCTGTGTAGAAGTAGGACGAAATCGTAAATAATTATGTTGTAAGGACAGTGCCGGAGCGGAAAGAGGATTCCAGCTAGTACCATACATGTAACACGCTATGCGCAATAAAATTGTCATCTGATGAAGAAACGTGAGACAATAATACGATACAATGACCAATTTATAGGAGAACACAGAAGACCTTTATGTGAAACATAAATATTATTTGAAACGCTGAAGTGTGTTGTCTAATTCGTCGATGGATTCACGAATTTCAGGTAAAGGTAAAGTTTAGTAACTCCATATTGAGACATACAGCTATAGTGTATAAATGAGTATTCACAACAATTTGTGCACGCTCCATTCACTTCGTACGAAAATAGGGCGTAATCCAATCTGAAACTTTGATTGACATTGGATTGACATATCCAAGAGATTTACCAGAGATGTTTAAAAAAATTAGTGAACGAACCGAGCTATTTGTTGCAGCAAGGTTACATGTTTCAATGGTGTGCCGTGAATCTCCACAAATAACTAAATGGAACGATATGACAAGTAAAGACTACTGCATGACGAAGGCGCAGAATCCGTATAAATTGAGCGGGCGCTAACGCGACGCGCGCGTATCTTCATCGTTGCAAAAAAATATTGCGCCTTCGTCATGCAGCAGCATATACACATAGAAACAGTACTGCAGAAACATTTCAATGAAAGCTCTTTCCTGTGGTCGCTTTTATTATTTCCGCTTTCAACTAATTTTTTGTTAAGATGAAATTAAAACTTTGTCTAAATTTTTATGAGTGATATATCACAATGAAAATAACGCTTGTTTAGTTAATTTGAAAAAAGACAAAAAGAGGAATATATTTTGATTGTAACCCGCTAATGATGTAGCAGTCGCACACCTTTTATCCCAGCTATTAATGAGGAAAACTACTCAATTTAGCTTGGCATTTTGGCAAGAGACATACACATTATGAATAAGCTTTAAACGCTGATTCCAAACATGCTATTCTTAGCTGTCGTGCATCATTCCGAAGCGAGTTATGGGCTTTCTCCTGCGCTTTTTCCTACTTTCCCGTTTAGTAGTATGCCAATTTCGTGCAGGAAAAGTCCATAACTCGCTTCGGAATAATGCTCGGCAGTTAGGAATGTCATATTCTGAATCAGCTTTCGTAGCTAATTCTGATTACCCATGTTTCTTGCCAAAAGACCGTTCTAGGTTAGGTAGCTTCTCTTGTAAGTTATTTCAGTCCTGCCCGACTTTTAGTTGTCTTGTTTCAACTGTAAGTGCTGTTCTAAAGATTTGCACTTATTGCAGTAATACAAACACTATCTAGAAGCAGTTTTTTGCTTTTGCCAATGCTTAGTAATTCTCGATGAAATATCTTTGATGGGATTTTAAGCCCTGAATTTGAGACGCCAAAATGCAGTATCCGCAGCTTCGAAACGTCACTTACCTAATGTTTCATAAAGAGTAAGAATATAAGGGCTAGCCTACGCGCACTTTTCGATCTACATAGAGAATGTTTTACTCGATTTTTTTTCAAAGATTGACAGATATTCAACAAGCGAGCAGAGTTAGCCCACTGGTTACAGCTTTACGTAATATTGCCGTGCTGGATGTCAGAGTTCAATTCCACCCTGCGCCATTTCTGCGGCAAAAATTCTGCTCACAATGTCAGCGTCAGGCCCTTCCAAGAAATGAAAGCCGGCTGAGAAACACCTCGTCGTAACATAGCAGATATATATCTCATATAGAATCTCAAGTAAAGGTTAGCCCCCCCCCCCCCCCGGAAGCGACGCGCATTCGAGGCCGACAAGTGCGGATAGTATGCGATAGTTGCCGTCTCAGCAGGTTGAACGAGGAGGCTAAAGTGGCCAGTCATTAGAGGCAACGATCCAGATCTCGCAGACTTTCTTAGCTATATTTGACATGGGTACTTTTATCGGGCAGGGAGTTGGCAGTCCTCATAAAATGGCAACGAGTGAGTAATTATTTCTTTATTCATGTAATACAATTAGTGGTGTTCCAAAAACTAAAAAAAAATTTGAAACACAAAAGAAACAGTACAAGTAAGGAAAGGTAATGCTCTCTCTGGTCGAGTGTGTCATAGCAATAGCAGTCTTTGCAGGATCATCAGATCGTTCCCCATTTCCAAAAAAGTGAGAGTCGTTGTTCTCTAACGAGGAAGAGTTCCCAAGTCAGCTCGGCCAACCCGGATGAGTCATATATCACCTTAACCTGCTTGAAACGCTGATGCGACTTTCCGAGAGAAGTTATGAGCGTTTGAAAGTCTAAATTTGTCATGTTTTAAGTGGCTTAAAATTGGCGAAACCCGTACAATAACACATGAAAGTGATTTATCAGTTTTGTATCGAGTATATTGATTACAAGGACGAAACACAGGTAATGAAATTCCGTTAGGTGTTGTTTTACAGCTTTCAACTAATTTTAAGCCACTTTGAACATGACAAATTTAGACTTTCAAACGCTCATAACTTCTCTCGGAAAGTCGCTCCGCAGAAAAGGAAAGCAGATTTGGAATCAGCGTTTTATGCCCGTTACGATGATATATTACTCATCCGGGTTGGCCGAGCTGACTTGGGAACTTTTCCTTGTAAGATCCTGTTTCCTACCCTTAACGCAATTAGATGAGGTCATAATCTCGCTTGGCTGACCGGCTTAAGTCAACAGCACGAACCCGTCAAGGTCTCCGGGCGAGAGGAAAGGAGGGACCTCAAGGAAAAGGGGCTCCCAACTTTTGATTTCCTCATACGGCTACTCCACGCGAGGCACGCTGTGATCGCTCAAAATTAAAGAACAATGACCAATCAAACCATTATTCAGTTCACCATATTCGGGTGAAAAAAGTACTACTCTAAATTTCGTGGATAAACATATTCTAGGTAACATCAGCGATTTTCAATGATTGCAAAGCGTTAATCGTAGTTAGTTTTTTGCTTGGCATTCGGGAAACTCGTACACGTAATTATTTCTTTAGGTAGAATGGCTAACCATCTAGCCGTTCGGCACACAAAAGAGTGAAAAGCTTTAGAAGGACTCTGCTCTCCAACTTGTGAACTCAAGCACAGCCCACCAGTTCGCATCCCACAATGTCTAAGGACCCAGTATCTACCAGGTTTTAGTCTCGTTTATAGTCTAATGATACGGAAACAAAGTATCAAATCATTACATATCCTCTGGTATCGTAAATTTCGCAATCCCAAGGCGGTTACTTTCAGTCTGAGCTGGTAGCGATTGAGGGTAGTCGCTTTTGGGGTAACCTCTGTAAGAAACGATTCTGGTTCTAGTGAATACTTTTCGGCTTCGTGTGCTTTGAATTGTTGTTCATCAGTATTGCAAAAATGTATCCTTATGTCGTCCGCAAAAATCTGTTTCTTGGTGTTGGGATTAATTCGCGGGTAGGATGGTAGATCAGCTGTGTACGTGAGGAAAAGGAGAAGCGAAAGTAGCTTGAGAAGTAGGTTCCTACACTGACCGTCATACCTCTGTCAATGTAGGTAGGACCCGAACCAAAACAGCAGTTGCCCGCTGATTCCGAAATTTTCAAGTTTACATATTTGGAAGGACCAACTCGGTCATGCCTTGGATAAATCAAAGAATATATTAGGTTGTAAAGAAAGTTCCCGGGCACTTGCGAAAATTTTTTTCAAATCGCTGTAACTTCAAGCAGATTGATTGTTTCTTGAAGCTGCAAACTGCAAAGACAATTTTGTTCACAACATATGTTTGTCATGCTGGCTTCCTAGCACCTCACTGCGGTCCACCAGCATGCGCAGAAGGGAAAAGGGTAGTTTAAAAAAGGGACCTATTTGCGCAGGATTATTTCAGGCAGGATGAGAGCTGGCGAGCTCAGATGATGTAGTCATATAGAAGTCTGTTGGGACTGTTATGGGGAGCATTCATGCTTTTGAGCGACCACCTGCAAAAATTTTTTCTCAGAAAGTTTGAAGGATCTACCATTTTTTGCCCCAAAAATGCATCATTTTTCGAGTAAGTGACTTTGAAGTCTTGTCTTTCTGCAGAGGGTAGACCAAATCTTTGATTACTGTGGGAGGGGGGGGGGAGGGGGTAAGCCATTGTTGGGGTAATGCCTTACACATCTTTTGGAAACATCTCCAGACGTGGCGATCCCCGCAGAAGCGACGCCAGCTGGGAAAAGAGTTGCAGTCAGAGGCAAGTCCGACAGCTTGCACAAATCGAGCGCAAATCGCAAAACTCGAGCGCAGCTGCGGGTCAGAAGTCTTCTCAATCGGATCATTCTTGATTTGGAAGAAATTCTTTTAACTGCGCAAAAGAATGACCGTGGGAAGAAAAATTGTGAGATTTTTCTGGTTGGAAAGACTTCTCTTCTTGATGTGCCGATCAAACACGTTTTGGCATCGATAAAAGTCAGAAGGCGCATCGAAAACTTTAGGCTTCCCTCTACTAAACAGTATAAAAAGCTTGGTGTCAAAGTCCGTCCGAGCGCCGAAAAAATGCGTTTGAAAACGAAGTTTCCAAAAGGAACTTTTTTTTACAACCTGATATATCGATAGATTTCCCAATGTTTAACACACTTTTCCAATCAAAAAGGGAATCCGAAAGCAATGCCGTAGTGGACCCCCAGGGAGGAAGCCCAGTTGGGCCGTAGGCAAAATTTCGTTGTTTTCTCACCATTTGAACAAGATGTTCATTATAATTTTTTCAAGTATTTTTTCAGACGTTGCAGTTATGCTGACTGATGCCTCCTTCCAGATAGCAGGCGCTACACCTAGAGAAAAAGAGGCATTGAATATAATAGACGGCCTTGAGTTTTTTCAATTTTCTAAATTTTTTGAATTAATTTTTTAAAATTTCATAAACATTTGTATTATAAATGACAAATCTGGGCAACAACACATGTGCGAGTTATAAGGTGATGGGATGTTTTTCTATAAATTAATTTTTTTCAGTAGAAAAAAAGGTGAAAAGTTTTTCTAACGCTTCTGCTTTCTCTCCGTCACTTTTACGTTGCGCCGCTCATTTAAACTGAAAAAATTTTTATCGACCTTTCATTTTTGATTTGAGGCATCCATAAAGGCTCTTTTAAGATTATTTAGAGAGACGTCCTTCTTGCTTAGCCAAAAATTTTTGATATGATGGTTGATGTATGCACAAACTTTCCTATATCTATCATCATTCAAAGGGTCAGATAACTGCGAAAATAGCAGAGATTTTTAATGAAGAAGATTTTAGGTAAGAATAGGATAGTGTAAGCTAAATTTCTAGTCCGAAAGGCTTGAATCGAAACGGCACAAAGTCTTGAAACAGTTGTGTACAATGTTTTACAGAAGCAGTAGTAGAGATCATCAACAGCTGCCAAGCCCCTGAAAAGATCGAATCAATCAATATTTTGCAATGATCTATTTGTTTCTGAAAAAGCTATTTTGCGAAAGTCTTGATATGGGAGGAAGGTGATTTTGAATGAATGTAAAGGCAGCATCAAAAATTATTATGTTGTGATCTGATGAGCCAAAAAAGGAAGTCT